CCACATATTCTTCAATAAAATAATATTTTCCATCACAACAATAATTTTTTCTTCTTTTTCAACCACACATTTCTCATCATATCACTATTCAAAAATCAATTCTTCCCTCAAAAATCCCTACCAAACACACTCTAAAATAGGCTAATGGGTTTTAAAATTAAAATTATGAAATAATCTGAGTTATTCAATTAATTTGCTAATTTGTTTAACAAAATAAAAAAATTATTTAGTTTCGGTTTTTGATCTAGACCAGAGTCCCGATCCAAATCCATCGGTTCTCGATTCGGGTACTCGTTCATGTATTTAATTTATGAAAAACAATTCGATTCGATTCAGATTCGGTTCGATCCCATTCGATTCTGAATTTTTGGACCACCCTATTTCCAACTACTCAAATAATAAGAAGTTGAGCAATCTCCCATTGGTACAACTCCTCAATTAAATTCAGATTTCTTTCTTCTACTTTATATAACCCTACTATGATCAGAAATAGAAAACTGAACAAATGCTCTCTTCTTTGTCAGAATAAAGTATAAAACGTGTCTCAAATCTAGTACCTTCTTATTCACTTCACATTGATACTCCCAATGAGAAGTATATTATTTCAATCAGATACTAATAACATCAAAACCCTCCATAGATATTAAATTAATACCGACCAACTCGGTTATGATACTTCATAAAAGATGACAGACTTATCACAATCTCTCTCACAGCTAAAGTTTGCAGAGAAATGAGGCATTTGTCATTAGCATTTTTGTTCCTTCTCGTCCTTTCACCGTTGAAAGAAACTCGATGTTCTCTTAGACAGTTGAAGTTGTACGAATTCCAAGAAAAACTCCGAGAAAAAAGTGATGCACCGATGCCGATGCCAATGCCACTCTCACATTCTCCCAAGGTTTGTTAATTTTTCTTTTTTTTTTTTGGCTTTTGGGTTCTTCCTTTTGAAATTTCCATGCTGTGTTTTGCTGCAGAATCATGGGAGGGTATTTTATCCAATCGGGTACGGTGCTGATCCAACTGGAGTTCAAGATAGCGCAGACGCCATATTTGCTGCAATAAGAGATGCTGGAACACTGCAAAATGGGCTCGACTTGTTGCCGGGAATCACTGATTTAGGTGGTATTGTCATTGATTTGCAAGGTGGGAATTTCAGGATCAGTCACCCCATTAGGTTCCCACCTGGCATTGGAAATCTTGTGGTACGTTTTTTCCTCAAGTTTACGCACGGGATGCGGAATCCGAAGGCCCAAAACCTTCTTTTTCCTTAAATTTGTTTGACGACTCACACTTCTCAATGCATCACATATTTACTTTTACAACAACCAACCAACTCTACAGCCAACCCTCCTGATATAGTCAGTTTTTATGTGTCAAAAAGAGCATTCAATTGCTCAGTTTTCTGAACATGGTAGTTGACCTGGGTCCACTTTGAATCGAGTTTGGATTTACTGTCTCGACTTCACTGTCTACTACAATTTTGACACCAGTAAAATTTCTGGGAGGCGAAAAACTCACGTAACCGAGTTATGCTGCATGTACAAAGTTATGTTAAAAAGTTGATTGATAAAATAACATTTACACCAATTATTTTAAAAATAGATTTTTAAATCATTTGAAATCAACTGTCTAAATTTTGTCAACACACTTTGTAACCCAACTTTTGTAACTCAACTTTGTACAAATAGCTTTATTGAAATAAGAAATGACAAAAGTTGGCGGCAAAAGTGAACCTGCAATTGCAGTTCAGACAATATCAAGCAGT